ACTCCCTGACAGGAGGGGGGAGCCGGGGGGGTGTCGGGCTCTGCTCCCAGGGAATAAGGGATGGGAGGAGAGGAAATAGCCTCAAGCCGTGCCAGGGGAGGTTTGGTTTGGATATTGGGAAAATCTCTTCATGGAAAGGGTTGTCCAGCCCTGGCACAGCTGCCCAGGGCAGTGTTGGAGTCCCCATCCCTGGAGGGGTTTAAAATCCCTGTGGATGTGGCACTTGGGGACATGGGTTGGTGGTGGCCTTGGCAGTGCTGGATGATCCCAGAGGGCTTTTCCAAACTTTATGGTTCTACGATTCAGGTTTATTTTCTAAGCATTCCTTTTTTCCTTCTGGAACACACTGTCAGGGTTTAATCCTGCTGCTGTGAGCCTGAACATGTGGCTGCATCTCTCCCTTTGCCTTGGAGCCCGTGCATCTCGTTAGCTCCAGCCTCTCCTTCAGCTCATTAATAGTGATATTAATCTGTTCCAGTTCCCAGCTCTAATCGCAGATTCCATCAGATCAGGGGTTTCTCTTGATCTTTTCCAAGCAGCTCATTATCCAACACAGCTGCAAATGTTGCTGGGCCTGACACTGATGCATATTTTGTACCATGGGGGAATTTGACTAATAAAATAATCCAATTAGACATTTGTTTTTGTCTCCCTGGGGCATCTTAGATTACTTGTCTACCTCAGCTCCGTGTTGTAATTAGGGAACGTTTGTACATCCCTTTGATGTAAAAGCACTGGTGTTATCCATGGCTCTGGCTCCAGTTCAGAACTTGGGAAGAGGAAGAGCTGGAGATTAAACCTGCAGCAGGATCTGGTGGTGGGGGCTATGGATACTGTCAGATCCTGGGGGGGACAGTGTCAGTGTTTTGAGTGTTGTACAGCAAATATTCAGAGCTCCTGAACTCCAGGGATCTCCAAACAGGAGTTGTGCTCAACATTGGAGAAATCTCCTGTCAAAGACATTTCAGGCTGCCAACATTCCTGTCTTTGCTTTCCACTTGAAACTAAACAGACCACAGGGGTCCCTGGAGAATTCCATGAGTTAATTCAGTTTATAACTATTTTCACAGCATCGTGGAATGCTTTGGTTCGGAAGGGACCCTAAAGATCATCTAATTCCAGCCTTTCCACTGGAAGGGTGCTGGTGCCATGGCAGCACCACACCCTGTTTCATTTTCCCTTTGTCTCCTCTCTCTCTAGTCTTTCCCTGGTTTGGCCTGGACATCGGAGGGACCCTGGTGAAACTCGTCTACTTTGAACCCAAGGACATCACGGCGGAAGAGGAAGAGGAAGAAGTGGAAAACCTCAAAAGCATCCGCAAATACCTGACATCCAACGTAGCCTATGGCTCCACAGGCATTCGGGATGTGCACCTTGAGCTCAGGGACCTTACCCTGTGTGGACGTAAAGGCAATCTGCACTTTATACGCTTTCCTACTCATGACATGCCTGCTTTTATCCAAATGGGAAGCGAAAAGCACTTCTCGAGCCTCCATACTACCTTATGTGCCACGGGAGGTGGAGCGTACAAATTTGAGCAGGACTTTCGCACAGTAGGCATTTTTGGCTTCTATACCGTTAGGATCTGGTAGTGACGTTTCTCTGAGGGCTTAGAACTAGAAAACTCCCTCTGCAGACTCTTTAAAACTCCTCTAAATCTTGATTTCGGATGTGTCTCCCCCCACCTAACTCCAGTCAGGAGTCAGGTTGAATTGTCCAAATTAAAACACTTTCTTCCCTGAGCTTTCTTCCCCCATGTGCATGTAACGTCCTGTCACTCTAAATTAATTGCTCACCAATGTTCTTTCTTACAAATCTTCCTCTCTGGTTTTAATCTCTGCTGCTGCTGGTCTCGGTCTCGTGGGTTATTTTTTTTTTCCTCATTGCTGTCTTTCGCCTGCTTTGTTTTCTTTCTTTGCTCACCTGGTTTCATTTCTGACACCCTGTGTGTGAATGAGATGGTTGAAGTTCAGTCAGGTTTGGGGGTAGATTTAACTGTCAGGAAGTTCACAGTTGGGGTTTGATTTCATCATGTGGCTTCGTTCTGGGTTGGATCCTTGTTCACAGGTGAAAAACATGTGTGATAAATACTTGTTTCATCAGGGCTTGGAAAAATGCAAATAAGTGGGCTTTTCATGGAATCATTGAGGTTGGAAAAGGCCTTTAAGACCACTTAAGACCACTTAAGACCACAAAAAGTCCAACCCTTAACCCAGCACTGCCAAGGCCACCACTAACCCATGTTCCCAAGTGCCACATCCACAGGGATTTTAAATCCCTCCAGGGATGGGGACTCCACCCCTGCCCTGGGCAGCACAACCCTTTGAGTGGAGAAATTTTTCCTAATATCCTGTTTTGTGCAGTTGAGGCAGTGGCATGAGGGGAAAATAATTTTGTAACTCCTTCACCTTTTGTTTTGATGTTTGTTTGGATGGGTTTTGTTGGATATTTTGGTCAAACAAAGAAGCCCCTCCTCACTTCCTCTGACTTTTCATGCCAGTGCCTCAGCGTCAGGGCCTGAATCAGGCTTGTGGGAGTTTGTGGGATTCTCTCTTGTGTCCATCTCTGGATCCAGGTGTCTTTTTTTCCCTATTTCACACCTGCACACCAGAAGGTTGGGATAGCTGGGACTCCCCGTGCTCTCCTGTGACCTGTTCTTCCCCAGGCTCTGCAGGGAGCATGGAGACAGCTTGGACTGAGCTGGCAGTGAATGCATTTTTCCAACCCTGACCATAAGCCCTTCACATCCCTCCCTGCTCCTTCAATATTCCTCTTTTTCCTTCCCACCAGATGGGTGACCTTGAGCTTTGTAAGCTCGATGAACTCGACTGCCTTATTAAAGGGGTGTTGTACATCGACTCCGTGGGATTCAATGGACACTCAGAGTGTTACTATTTTGAGAACCCAACGGATGCTGAGAGGTGCCAGAAGCTCCCATTCAACCTGGAGAATCCATACCCTCTCCTCCTGGTGAACATTGGCTCAGGGGTCAGCATTCTGGCTGTCTACTCCAAAGAAAACTATAAACGGGTAACGGGCACCAGGTGAGTGCTGAGGGGGGAAAAGAGGGAGTTTTATTTTGGAGTCTGGAACACGTTCCTGCCTTGTAAATCACATTTTCAGGGACAAACTGCAGTAAAGGTGGTGTGTGGAATGACCAAGCTCCTGCTTTTACTGCAGTCCCTTCTCCCTGCCAGCAAAGATCCCTCCTGGAAGAGAGGATCTGGATTTCATGTTTTGGTGTCTTTTCTGCAGCCAGTCTCTGTCAAAGCTGGTTTTTCAGTTGCCCTGCTGCAGGAATTTAAGGGTTTTACTGATCTGCTTGATTAGATCACCTAGTTTGGGATTATCCCAAATACAGTGATCATCTTAACAACTCTTAGCCTTGATCCAAGCAGTCAAGATTTCCATCCTGACTTCCAGAATTTGCCTGATTTTGGTGGAAGAGATGATGACTTAGCAGTAATTCCCCAGTTCTTGCCCTTCCTGAAGGTGTGGCTCTTGTGTCCAGGCAAAGCAAAATATTTCTGTAGCTTTAAGCTTTCCTGAAGACCCAGGAAGTTAGCAATAATAATGAATAATGAAGAAATAATATAATATTAACAATTGTAATAATAATAATGATTGTAAAGCCCCTCAGTACAGTTCCTACTCTTACTATAGATCATTATTGGGATCTGTACATGATGAGGTGAACAAAGTTTTTTCCCCAGATTTTGAATGGCTCTGCCCTGACACTCCAGTTATCCCTCAGAACTAATATTTATTTTAAGATTAACATCTCCTGAGTGCTGGGAAGAAAGTGGATGGTGTGAAATAGAAAATTAAGGTCTCGTTTAGCACCAATGGCCTGTGCAGAAGGCTGTGAGGGATTCCTTGCAGGCTGTAAATTATGTGAGAGGAACAGATTTAAAGGAAGTTTTTTAATTCTGCTTTACTTGCAGCCTCGGAGGGGGAACCTTTTTTGGTCTCTGCTGCCTTCTCACAGGATGCTCCACCTTTGAGGAGGCCCTGGAAATGGCATCCCAGGGGGACAGCACCAAAGTGGACAAACTGGTGCGGGACATCTACGGGGGAGACTACGAGCGGTTCGGGTTGCCAGGCTGGGCTGTGGCATCCAGGTAAACGACCTCCCTGGGTTTTATTTTCACTGCAGGTCCTGCAAGCATGAAAATCTGGACTTAGGTGGCTCAGGAGAACAGCCATTCCTGAGAGATCCTGAGTTACTGATAGCAACGCTTTTTAAAGTTAGAAATCATAGGAATCAATCCTTCAAGATAAATTGCTTCGGTTACATTAGCAGTTCCCGTTATCTCCTGGAATTCTGATGGGACCTTTAACCCTAAAACTGTCTTTACAGCTTTGGAAACATGATGAGCAAGGAGAAGAGGGAGTCTGTCAGCAAGGAGGACCTGGCCAGGGCCACCTTAATCACCATCACCAACAACATCGGCTCCATAGCGCGGATGTGTGCACTCAACGAGGTATTTTGGGGGATCTCTTCCCTTCCTCCCTGACTAGAACATCACCTCTGCTGCTGCCTGTTTGAGGGGCATGCCTCTTGTTTGAGGAACAGCTCTGGGAGAGGAGGAAGGGAGGGGTGGAGGATGTGGAGGCTGGATGTCTCCCCTGTGTTGTTTTTATGAGTTGCTCTGGATTTCTTGGCCAAGCCCCACCAACCCCACGGCTGTTCCTGTATCTTTGGGCTTTCAGCTTCTTTACAGTGCTGCCTTGTTGCATTCATGTCAAGCAGCATTGTACAGGGCTATGAAAGAACAGAGACATCCTCTGCACTGCATCCTGAGCCTGCTCCCACGGGATGAGCTAGGGGATCTGGCATCCTCCTGACTCCTGGATCTCTCTTTACCTTCATTTGCTGATAAAATGATGCAAGATGTGTCCTAAACAGCCTTGAACTGACTTATTTTCTTGTTGGAGAACAAGCAACTTCAAAGCTCATCGCTTGGCTCAGGAGAACTATTTTGGGATTAAAGTTAGACTGAAAGTCTGACTTGAGTCTAATATATTGGTTGGTCTTTTCCTTTCTTTCAGAATTGTGTTGGTTATGGGCTTCCAAATAGTTTTTTTCCTTTAGTTTAACAGTAGAGAGTCACTCAGCTGTTTAATGATGAGTCAAAGGCAGGAGTTCAGGGGAGAGGGGGAGATGGCACTTTGTGGTCAGTGTTTCCAGTCAGTATAAGGATTTCACAGCAAAATCAACTATTCTGTTCACATTCCTGAGCTGGGAAAGCTGTAGTTCAGCCTGGGGATTTCTGGGCAGTGAAGAAGAGCCTGGGTTAAAGTGACCTGGCCTTGCTTTCTGAGAGAATTGTGGGTGTTTTTAATGTTCTGCAGAT